TTGATACTGTTCTTAAAAGATTTCCCCATTTTGCACCCGCAAGATAACGTAAGCTTTTAAGGGTTGATAGATGTTAATCTTCTTGTTTGAGGAGCTGTTCACTTGAGACAGTTAAGCAAGTCCCAGCTGTGTCTGGGTACAAGTGACAGGATGAACAACCCAGCGGGTTTTCTTCCTATTGGGGAGTGTTGTACATGCTGCTATGGCGGTATGTCCACTCACAGGATGAGTGGCGCTGCCCAATACTGTCACTATGGCGGTGTGTCCACTCACAGGATGAGTGGCGCTGCCCAATACTGTCACTATGGCGGTGTGTCCACTCACAGGATGAGTGGCGCTGCCCAATACTGTCACTATGGCGGTGTGTCCACTCACAGGATGAGTGGCGCTGCCCAATACTGTCACTATGGCGGTGTGTCCACTCACAGGATGAGTGACGCTGCCCAATACTGTCACTATGGCGGTGTGTCCACTCACAGGATGAGTGACGCTGCCCAATACTGTCACTATGGCGGTGTGTCCACTCACAGGATGAGTGGCGCTGCCCAATAAACTCGCCCCTCGGGGCAAAATTTAAAATTTAATCGCTTCTTCCAGAGTCAGCGTTCGATCCCGGATGGTCCCAGAGGTTGGGTACTGTTCCTCCCCCCTTCCCCCCCCCCCCTCGTCCTCATATCCCATCTCTCATCCTGCCCACATATCCTCTTGTTGTTGTTTTAGATTTAGCTACTCAGAACGAAATGTCCAAGTAGCACGGGCTATGGTGAGCCCGTAGTGGACTTACCTGGCACAGGAGCGGGGCAAGTAGCACGGGCTATGGTGAGCCCGTAGTGGACTTACCTGGCACAGGAGCGGGGCAAGTAGCACGGGCTATGGTGAGCCCGTAGTGGACTTACCTGGCACAGGAGCGGGGCAAGTAGCACGGGCTATGGTGAGCCCGTAGTGGACTTACCTGGCACAGGAGCGGGGCAAGTAGCACGGGCTATGGTGAGCCCGTAGTGGACTTACCTGGCACAGGAGCGGGGCAAGTAGCACGGGCTATGGTGAGCCCGTAGTGGACTTACCTGGCACAGGAGCGGGGCAAGTAGCACGGGCTATGGTGAGCCCGTAGTGGACTTACCTGGCACAGGAGCCGGGCAAGTAGCACGGGCTATGGTGAGCCCGTAGTGGACTTACCTGGCACAGGAGCCGGGCAAGTAGCACGGGCTATGGTGAGCCCGTAGTGGACTTACCTGGCACAGGAGCCGGGCAAGTAGCACGGGCTATGGTGAGCCCGTAGTGGACTTACCTGGCACAGGAGCCGGGCAAGTAGCACGGCCTATGGTGAGCCCGTAGTGGACTTACCTGGCACAGGAGCCGGGCAAGTAGCACGGGCTATGGTGAGCCCGTAGTGGACTTACCTGGCACAGGAGCCGGGCAAGTAGCACGGGCTATGGTGAGCCCGTAGTGGACTTACCTGGCACAGGAGCGGGGCAAGTAGCACGGGCTATGGTGAGCCCGTAGTGGACTTACCTGGCACAGGAGCGGGGCAAGTAGCACGGGCTATGGTGAGCCCGTAGTGGACTTACCTGGCACAGGAGCGGGGCAAGTAGCACGGGCTATGGTGAGCCCGTAGTGGACTTACCTGGCACAGGAGCCGGGCAAGTAGCACGGGCTATGGTGAGCCCGTAGTGGACTTACCTGGCACAGGAGCCGGGCAAGTAGCACGGGCTATGGTGAGCCCGTAGTGGACTTACCTGGCACAGGAGCCGGGCAAGTAGCACGGGCTATGGTGAGCCCGTAGTGGACTTACCTGGCACAGGAGCCGGGCAAGTAGCACGGCCTATGGTGAGCCCGTAGTGGACTTACCTGGCACAGGAGCCGGGCAAGTAGCACGGGCTATGGTGAGCCCGTAGTGGACTTACCTGGCACAGGAGCCGGGCAAGTAGCACGGGCTATGGTGAGCCCGTAGTGGACTTACCTGGCACAGGAGCGGGGCAAGTAGCACGGCCTATGGTGAGCCCGTAATGGACTTACCTGGCACAGGAGCGGGGCAAGTAGCACGGGCTATGGTGAGCCCGTAATGGACTTACCTGGCACAGGAGCGGGGCAAGTAGCACGGGCTATGGTGAGCCCGTAATGGACTTACCTGGCACAGGAGCGGGGCAAGTAGCACGGGCTATGGTGAGCCCGTAATGGACTTACCTGGCACAGGAGCGGGGCAAGTAGCACGGGCTATGGTGAGCCCGTAAACACATATCCCTCCCAAGAGGCATATATATATATAGTGATAACGGCGTGACTCCTCACCTCGGCACCAGCAACATCGACCTCATCCTGCCATGCAATGATTGCATTGACTTGACCGACCTATTTATACAACTGCATTTTCTCTCATTACTATTGTTATCAACGGCATGACAATGGGTTCTCCCATTAGTATTGTGCTTATTTATTAATAGAACCCCCCATTAAAGAGGACCACTCTCCAGCATTGTCTCCAAGACTGAATTGGCTTCGTCACGTTTAGTCCTAACGGAGACAGAAGAAAATGTATATATGCTGGTTAGCATTGTAAATGTGTGGCCACGTCTGTGGTAGAAAATTGGGCCACTGCGCGGGCCCTAAGCCCCTGGCTGGCCCACTGTGCGGGCCCTAAGCCCCTGGCTGGCCCACTGTGCGGGCCCTAAGCCCCTGGCTGGCCCACTGTGCGGGCCCTAAGCCCCTGGCTGGCCCACTGTGCGGGCCCTAAGCCCCTGGCTGGCCCACTGTGCGGGCCCTAAGCCCCTGGCTGGCCCACTGTGCGGGCCCTAAGCCCCTGGCTGGCCCACTGTGCGGGCCCTAAGCCCCTGGCTGGCCCACTGTGCGGGCCCTAAGCCCCTGGCTGGCCCACTGGGCGGGCCCTAAGCCCCTGGCTGGCCCACTGTGCGGGCCCTAAGCCCCTGGCTGGCCCACTGGGCGGGCCCTAAGCCCCTGGCTGGCCCACTGTGCGGGCCCTAAGCCTCTGGCTGGCCCACTGTGCGGGCCCTAAGCCTCTAGCTGGCCCACTGTGCGGGCCCTAAGCCTCTGGCTGGCCCACTGTGCGGGCCCTAAGCCTCTAGCTGGCCCACTGTGCGGGCCCTAAGCCTCTGGCTGGCCCACTGCGCGGGCCCTAAGCCTCTGGCTGGCCCACTGGGCGGGCCCTAAGCCTCTGGCTGGCCCACTGGGCGGGCCCTAAGCCTCTGGCTGGCCCACTGGGCGGGCCCTAAGCCTCTGGCTGGCCCACTGGGCGGGCCCTAAGCCTCTGGCTGGCCCACTGGGCGGGCCCTAAGCCCCTGGCTGGCCCACTAAGTGTTGCTTGTTTCAGTTTTACTTGGGCGGGGTGTGAGTATTTATGACCCGTATGGTCGCTTCAGTAAGATTTTGCCAAATGTGTTTAACAACTTCTTCTGCTCTGTTGAATCTAAGTTGAAATCTTAATGGGTTTGTAACTGTGCACTGTGTTAGATAATGTTCCAGTGGTCTGTTGTGGTTTGTAACTGTGCACTGTGTTAGATAATGTTCCAGTGGTCTGTTGTGGTTGTAACTGTGCACTGTGTTAGATAATGTTCCAGTGGTCTGTTGTGGTTGTAACTGTGCACTGTGTTAGATAATGTTCCAGTGGTCTGTTGTGGTTGTAACTGTGCACTGTGTTAGATAATGTTCCAGTGGTCTGTTGTGGTTGTAACTGTGCACTGTGTTAGATAATGTTCCAGTGGTCTGTTGTGGTTGTAACTGTGCACTGTGTTAGATAATGTTCCAGTGGTCTGTTGTGGTTGTAACTGTGCACTGTGTTAGATAATGTTCCAGTGGTCTGTTGTGGTTGTAACTGTGCACTGTGTTAGATAATGTTCCAGTGGTCTGTTGTGGTTGTAACTGTGCACTGTGTTAGATAATGTTCCAGTGGTCTGTTGTGGTTGTAACTGTGCACTGTGTTAGATAATGTTCCAGTGGTCTGTTGTGGTTGTAACTGTGCACTGTGTTAGATAATGTTCCAGTGGTCTGTTGTGGTTGTAACTGTGCACTGTGTTAGATAATGTTCCAGTGGTCTGTTGTGGTTGTAACTGTGCACTGTGTTAGATAATGTTCCAGTGGTCTGTTGTGGTTGTAACTGTGCACTGTGTTAGATAATGTTCCAGTGGTCTGTTGTGGTTGTAACTGTGCACTGTGTTAGATAATGTTCCAGTGGTCTGTTGTGGTTGTAACTGTGCACTGTGTTAGATAATGTTCCAGTGGTCTGTTGTGGTTGTAACTGTGCACTGTGTTAGATAGTGTTCCAGTGGTCTGTTGTGGTTGTAACTGTGCACTGTGTTAGATAATGTTCCAGTGGTCTGTTGTGGTTGTAACTGTGCACTGTGTTAGATAGTGTTCCAGTGGTCTGTTGTGGTTGTTGGAAAGAGATGACGCCCTTAGTTTCCCGTACACACTAATAATATAAAATGTTACCTAGTTGAAGTTCAAAGTTTCATGGAAACCAAACTATTTCACTGTTACTGAGATGAGCTGAAGAAACGAGGTTATTAGAGTCTCTTGACCAAAAGATGGCTTCTATGCATCACATAGAGACTTAAATACACTATAACCTGCAATAGGGATCGTAGACAGCCGGCAACTAAGATCATCTCCAATATCATAAACAAGACAAGACAAGAATGCCTGTTCATATAGGTTCGAACAGGACCAGGACGTAGGTTCGAACCCTAATCACGGCCATGGTGGATTTGTTCGCCTGCTTATTCTTCTAATAAGACACACAACCTAACCAACACTTGCAATAAAGCTCGGGTGTATACTACACCTTTTAACACTTGTGACAAAGTATACAAGGAGAAACACTAAGAAACACCGATGAGAGTGTTTGTGAAACACAAGTATCCATGCTGTGTCCATAACGCCAACACCGCATGTGTTACACACACACACACACACACAGGAACCAGGAGCAACAAACACCTCGTACACCTCAGGGCCGCTAAACTCATCAACAAACAAGAAGTGTGAAGATGTCAAACACCACAAAACCGTCACACACAATGACACGAACGCTAGGCGTTGCTGCTCATCTTGCACCTCAACCCACGGGACCTCAACCCACGGGACCTCAACCCACGGGACCTCATCCCACGGGACCTCAACCCACGGGTCCTCAACCCACGGGACCTCAACCCACGGGACCTCAACCCACGGGACCTCAACCCACGGGTCCTCATCCCACGGGACCTCAACCCACGGGTCCTCTTGCACCTCAACCCACGGGACCTCAACCCACGGGACCTCAACCCACACCTCACCCACGGGACCTCAACCCACGGGTCCTCAACCCACGGGACCTCAACCCACGGGACCTCAACCCACGGGACCTCAACCCACGGGTCCTCAACCCACGGGTCCTCAACCCACGGGACCTCAACCCACGGGACCTCAACCCACGGGTCCCACGGGACCTCAACCCACGGGTCCTCAACCCACGGGTCCTCAACCCACGGGACCTCAACCCACGGGTCAACCCACGGGACCTCAACCCACGGGACCTCAACCCACGGGACCTCAACCCACGGGACCTCAACCCACGGGTCCTCATCCCACGGGACCTCAACCCACGGGTCCTCAACCCACGGGACCTCAACCCACGGGACCTCAACCCACGGGACCTCAACCCACGGGTCCTCAACCCACGGGACCTCAACCCACGGGACCTCAACCCACGGGTCCTCAACCCACGGGACCTCAACCCACGGGACCTCAACCCACGGGTCCTCAACCCACGGGACCTCAACCCACGGGACCTCAACCCACGGGTCCTCAACCCACGGGACCTCAACCCACGGGACCTCAACCCACGGGTCCTCAACCCACGGGTCCTCAACCCACGGGACCTCAACCCACGGGTCCTCAACCCACGGGACCTCAACCCACGGGACCTCAACCCACGGGTCCTCAACCCACGGGACCTCAACCCACGGGACCTCAACCCACGGGTCCTCAACCCACGGGACCTCAACCCACGGGACCTCAACCCACGGGTCCTCAACCCACGGGACCTCAACCCACGGGACCTCAACCCACGGGTCCTCAACCCACGGGACCTCAACCCACGGGACCTCAACCCACGGGTCCTCAACCCACGGGACCTCAACCCACGGGACCTCAACCCACGGGACCTCAACCCACGGGTCCTCAACCCACGGGACCTCAACCCACGGGACCTCAACCCACGGGACCTCAACCCACGGGACCTCAACCCACGGGACCTCAACCCACGGGTCCTCAACCCACGGGACCTCAACCCACGGGACCTCAACCCACGGGACCTCAACCCACGGGACCTCAACCCACGGGACCTCAACCCACGGGACCTCAACCCACGGGACCTCAACCCACCGGACTTCAACCCACGGGACCTCAATCCACGGGACCTCAACCCACGGGACCTCAAGGCACCGGACTTCCACGGGACCTCCCACGGGACCTCAACCCACGGGACCTCAACCCACGGGACCTCAACCCACCGGACTTCAACCCACGGGACCTCAATCCACGGGACCTCAACCCACGGGACCTCAAGGCACCGGACTTCAACCCACGGGACCTCAACCCACGGGACCTCAACCCACGGGACCTCAACCCACCGGACTTCAACCCACGGGTCCTCAACCCACGGGACCTCAACCCACGGGACCTCAATCCACGGGACCTCAACCCACGGGTCCTCAACCCACGGGTCCTCAACCCACGGGTCCTCAACCCACGGGACCTCAACCCACGGGACCTCAACCCACGGGACCTCAACCCACGGGTCCTCACGGGACCCAACCCACGGGACTTCAACCCACGGGACCTCAACCCACGGGTCCTCAACCCACCGGACCTCAACCCACCGGACCTCAACCCACGGGTCCTCAACCCACGGGACCTCAACCCACGGGACCTCAACCCACGGGACCTCAACCCACGGGACCTCAACCCACGGGACCTCAACCCACCGGACTTCAACCCACGGGACCTCAACCCACGGGACCTCAACCCACGGGACCTCAACCCACGGGACCTCAACCCACCGGACCTCAACCCACGGGACCTCAGTGCCTATAATGTTACCTTGCAGTGCTCCGTAAAACAACGTTACACCGCTCATCAACAAATCCCGTGTAGTTGAGAGAGTGTACACAGGTTCGCCGTAGTTGTGATGAGCGAGCATCGGCGGCCGCCTTCAACACTTCAAAATAACACACTCTTGGCGGGAGTTTAGAGCCAGTAACTAACGACGTCTTCCTTCTATGGATTCTCTGACTCAAGATCAGAAGGTGTAGCCGTTATTAGTTTATACAAATCGTTATTCTTTAGGCTATATTGTGAAGGGTTTGTACCCCCCATCCCAGACGTTACCGAGTGAGCTAACTCAACCCGGCTGAACTGATGAAGTTCGAACAGTGGTTCGCTAACCTTCTCTGTTCGAATCGCACCTCTAGCCATTATTCCAGCACCGGCTCATAAACAAAGGGGAAGTGTTTGTTAAACCAGCCGCCAAAATCCCCTGTCTATGAGTGAGAAACAATATACACACGACTTGAAATGTTGACGTTCGAACTTGCGTTAGAAACGATCTAACGTTTAGGGAGCATAACCAAGCAAATATTGCGTCAGCCAGAAAACTTATCGGATGGATTACGAGAACTTTCAAATCCAGGGATCCCATCACAATGGTTGTACTCTTCAAGTCACTTGTGCTGTCCCGTCTCGAGTACTGCTCAGTACTCACTTCCCCCTTCAGAGCAGGAGAGATTGCTGAAATAGAGGGAATACAGAGAACATATACGGCACGCATAGACGAGATAAAACACCTAAATTATTGGGATCGTCTCAAAGCTCTCAATATGTACTCTCTAGAAAGGAGACGAGAGAGATACTAAATAATATACACATGGAAAATACTGGAGGGTCAGGTCCCAAATCTACACAGTAAAATAACAACGTACTGGAGTGAACGATATGGAAGAAAATGCAAGATTGAACCAGTGAAGAGCAGAGGTGCCATAGGCACAATCAGAGAACACATCAGAGGTCCGCAGCTGTTCAACGTCCTCCCAGCGACTATAAGAAATATTGCCGGAACAACCGTGGACATCTTCAAGAGAAAACTTGACTGTTTTCAAAGTGAAGTTCCGGATCAGCCGGGCTGTGGTGGGTATGTGGCCCTGCGGGCCGCTCCAAGCAACAGCCTGGTGGACCAAACTCTCACAAGTCGAGCCTGGCCTCGGGCCGGGCTTGGGGAGTAGAAGAACTCCCAGAACCCCATCAACCAGGTATCAACCAGGTAATATACACACTACTTGAACTGTTGACGTTCGAACTTTTCTTGAACATTGCTTTGCTTTCTTTGTATGTTTTGAACTCAATCAATTCATCGCCCACGTACTGCAAAACCCCAATAATTGCATAAGGAACCTAAATATCTAAAACCTAACCTAATCTCGGGTTAACTTATACATCAAATTCTAATATATATTTATATATTAAAGTGTTTAAATCACGAAGAGATTAACACGTGATGAATAATATGAAAATATTTAACGGCGAAGGAAAAATTCAACCAGAATTAACTTGAGTGTTGACATGTTAATCAACACATTATCAAGTTAACTAGAATACGTCTTTGGGGTCGGCCTAAGGTTAGCTATTTCGCCCGAGTTACTATTTTCGTCCGAATTATTCTTTTCGTCCGAAATTATTCTTTTCGTCCGAATTATGATTTTCGTCCGAAATTATTGTTTTCGTCCGAATTATGATTTTCGTCCGAAATTATTCTTTTCGTCCGAATTATTCTTTTCATGGGAAAATTCTATTGGCAAGAAGATCCAAGTGAGGAACATTCTCACCTTGAAAGACAATGTTCTAGCGTTCTGTTCACCCTTGTTCGAGCAGATCTCGTGTCAGAGAGCCAGCCAGCAAGCGTCAAGTGAGCTGTGTGTTCTGGCTCATTGCATAGTGGATGAACAAGGTAAGGCAATTATCAGGAGAAAGCACTAAGCCGTTACGACTGCGTTGTTGATGACTTAGGAGCGACGAGGACGACCAGGACGACGACCCAAGATCGTAAGATGTCGTCGTGTGTGTGAGAGATGGGGGGGGGGACGAGATACGAGACTTGGGACTAGTGGAGGGAGACGTCTTGGGGAACCTTCTGTCCTGCCAGGAGCTGCTGTTGCAACAGTGATCAGGCAACATCCTCGTGTTGATGCAACAGAAACAGTAGAATCAACAACAGCAATAACAAAAAGAGGAACAGTAACAACAACAACAGCAGCAGTAGCAGCAATAGCTGCACCAACAACAGCAACAACAGCAGCAGTAGCTACTGTTGTTGTAGCTAATGCTTTTGTTGTTGCTGTTATTCTTGATGTTGCTACTGCTGCTGCTACTGCTCGTGTTGCTTGTTCTGATGCTAATGCTGCTGTTGCTACTGCTGCTGCTGTTGCTGCTACTGCTGCTGCTGTTGCTGCTGCTGCTGCTGCTGTTGCTGCTGCTGCTGTTGCTGCTGCTCCTGTTGTTGCTACTGCTGTTGTTGTTGCTACTGCTGCTGCTACTGCTCGTGTTGCTTGTTCTGATGCTAATGCTGCTGTTGCTACTGCTGCTGCTGTTGCTGCTACTGCTGCTGCTGTTGCTGCTGCTGCTGCTGCTGTTGCTGCTGCTGCTGTTGCTGCTGCTCCTGTTGTTGCTACTGCTGTTGTTGTTGCTACTGCTGCTGCTACTGCTCGTGTTGCTTGTTCTGATGCTAATGCTGCTGTTGCTACTGCTGCTGTTGCTACTGCTGTCTGTTGTTGCTACTGCTGCTCCTGTTGTTGCTACTGCTGCTGCTGTTGCTGCTGCTGTTGCTGCTGCTCCTGTTGTTGCTACTGCTGCTGCTGTTGCTACTGCTGCTGCTGTTGCTGCTGCTGTTGCTGCTGCTGCTGTTGCTGCTGCTGCTGCTGCTGTTGCTGCTGCTGCTGTTGTTGCTGCTGCTGCTGTTGCTGCTGCTGCTGTTGTTGCTGCTGCTGCTGTTGCTGCTGCTCCTGTTGTTGCTACTGCTGCTGCTGTTGCTACTGCTGCTGCTGTTGCTGCTGCTCCTGTTGTTGCTACTGCTGCTGCTGTTGCTACTGCTGCTGCTGTTGCTGCTGCTGCTGCTGTTGCTGCTGCTGCTGCTGTTGCTGCTGCTGCTGTTGCTGCTGCTGCTGTTGTTGCTGCTGCTGCTGTTGCTGCTGCTGCTGCTGCTGCTGTTGTTGCTGCTGCTGCTGTTGTTGCTGCTGCTGCTGCTGCTGTTGTTGCTGCTGCTGCTGTTGCTGCTGCTGCTGCTGTTGCTGCTGCTGCTGTTGCTGCTGCTGCTGCTGTTGCTGCTGCTGCTGTTGCTGCTGCTGCTGCTGTTTCCATTATACACCAGAGACATAACCAGGATACCTTGGGCAACATGCGGGTAGCTGCCAGACACACACCACTTGACACCCTGAATAAGGATTCTCTCGAGGCCGTGTGTACAAGCCTTTGACCACAAGACAACAACATGCAATATTCGCCTCTATCTGCAGGAAGAAAAGTGCGAGAATTATGACAGGTTAAGGGTACTACATCGCACAACCACGAGGAGGAGAGGAGAAACAAGTGGGGGGATATGATTACGACATAGAAGATACAGCGCCAGGAGTAACCCCCCGGAGGTGCACAGAGCTTGTGGCAGGAGGGTCAGTAAGACGGGTGTAGGTCCCCCAAACGGCCTTCGATGAGTCTGGTCTTAGTGTGTAATACACACCTGTGAGTGGACACACCGCCATAGTGACAGTATTGGGCAGCGGCACTCATCCTGTGAGTGGACACACCGCCATAGTGACAGTATTGGGCAGCGCCACTCATCCTGTAAGTGGACACACCCCCATAGTGACAGTATTGGGCAGCGTCACTCATCCTGTGAGTGGACACACCCCCATAGTGACAGTATTGGGCAGCGTCACTCATCCTGTGAGTGGACACACCACCATAGTGACAGTATTGGGCAGCGCCACTCATCCTGTAAGTGGACACACCCCCATAGTGACAGTATTGGGCAGCGTCACTCATCTTGTGAGTGGACACACCGCCATAGTGACAGTATTGGGCAGCGTCACTCATCCTGTGAGTGGACACACCACCATAGTGACAGTATTGGGCAGCGTCACTCATCCTGTGAGTGGACACACCGCCATAGTGACAGTATTGGGCAGCGCCACTCATCCTGTGAGTGGACACACCACCATAGTGACAGTATTGGGCAGCGTCACTCATCCTGTGAGTGGACACACCGCCATAGCAGCATGTACAACACTCCCCAATAGGAAAAAAAAACCCGCTGTGTTGTTCATCCTGTCACTTGTACCCAGACACAGCTGGGACTTGTTTAACTGTCTCGAGTGAACAGCTCCTCAAACAAGAAGATTAGCATCTGTCAATTAATAACTTACTTTATCTTGCGGGTGCAAAATGGGGGAATCTTTTAAGAACAGTATCAATATTTGACAAATAGTGTTTTCCTAACTCAAACAATGTGGGGTTTATTATTCTACACATATTTCTAGTGTCTGTTAGATGTCCACATTCTCTCAGGTAGTGGTCAAGGCGGTGTCCGTCACTCTCACCACAGATTCTGCAAGTCCGCTGCTCAACTGATGTTTCCATCCTGAATCTCCATGGATATTTGTATCCAAGACGGATTCTTGCTATTACAGATTCTCTCCCTCGGCCACCTCCTCTTCGTCCATAATGATTGGGATTGCCAGCTGCAACCATGTTGTACCATCGTACGGATTCACTGGTTTGTGCTTCTATCCTCCTTTCCTCAGTAACCTTGTCACGGTGATGTTGCCTGACAATACCTCTAATTTGTAGTAGAGTCTTGGGTATGAAGTATTCAATATGGTCTCCTTCAGCGCCTTCAGCAGCCAGCACATCTGCTCGTTCATTCCCACATATTCCAACATGGGAGGAGATCCACAGAAACTTGACGACTCTTCCCTGATTGGTTAGTACCCTCACAGCTCTCTTGATATCAGCGACTATCGCAAGATTTTCTGCCCGATTTTTATTAAGGCTTTGTAGCGCTGCTTTTGAATCAGTGCAGATCACTGCACCGTTAGTGTTATGTTCAAGGAATCT